GTAAATATGATTTGACGGGTTAATTATGGGATTTAAGGAATTAAAGTCATTTTAACCAATCTTCTTTAAGCACTCGGGAGAGGGTAAACAAGAACGATGCTCCTATTTGTCACTAGCATATTTATAATTGGCACTTTACAATTCCTATACTCACTTACATCATTACAAGAGAGGGTATTTCTAGAACTTGATATTCATCAATTCAAACCATGTTAAGTAGGATTTCTAAAGGATTTATACTTTACAGTTGCTCTAGATAATTTAGGATTACTTTGTAGGACTCTAAACAGTTTTAGTTTTTCAGGCTAGGACTCAAAATCACTAAGCTAGAACTTTTTCTATTTTGGAATTACCTCGTTCTCTTTGGGATCAACAATTCTGACTCTAAAATCTGATATTACTGATACAACAAATGCATTTGTTTTAGGCCCCAATGTGTAGTAATACCTCGAAGCGGTGTCATCATGCTTTTGCAATTTTAATTATTGCTTTCTTCCTTGAAATGAGTTATGACCTTTCTATAGATGTTTTTTGTAGCTTGAATTTTATATTTTCAACTGATTTTAATATTATATTAGGGTTATGTTGTTTTATTGTTTTCATACTACATCTTTCTCTATAAGATAATGAACTATAATTTATACTCAAATTCTTATGAAGATTTGTAGAGAATGGTTAACTCTAAATTTCCAATACTCAAATAGTTGGTATAAGCAATGAACATTTCTTATACTCAAATGATTATGAAGCTTGGTACATTGATGGTTAACCTCTTATACTAATATGTAATAAATTCTCTTTATGATTGGAGCATAATATAGAATAAAAAATCTCTATAAAGCTAATCAGTTGGTATAAGAAATGAACATTTAAATATTCACATGCAGAAAAAACATGCAGAAAAAGCCATATTAGTATTAGAAAAAAAAAAAACTTACACCCCATCTTACGACAGAGTTCTAAATATGAGGTAAGATTTTTCTATTGCACATTCAGTAATGAATCTAGCTTATACATTGTTATACAGAAAAACAAAACTATGGAAGCTGATTTCATTTTCAATTGAGGCAAAACATTGGTTTCTGCAATTTAGCTACTTTAATTTTGTAATAAACTTACAAGGCTCAAATCCTTGTAGGACATAACACTCAATGCCTATCTATCTTCTAAACTTCGAATATTAGATAAGTAAAGAAAAAATAATTAAAAGTTTAGATGTTAGATATGTAGTGTTAGGTGCATTTCAATATTTAGAACAAGAGAGAACCCAATTATGCAGTTAGATTTAGAGTACAGGAAATAACCTTCCTTAATGGTTTTTGGTAGGAGCGGAGTGGAAGGATGAGAAAGATGAGAGTTTTTGGTGGTCTATGTAAGCCACGATCCCCTTGTTGTCTTCCAAACTAGCTCAACTAGCGATTGCAAGCCGCGATCCCGTCATTCTTTTCGAAGCTAGCTCTAAAAGCAAGGGTTTTAGGCAAAATCGAGGAGGGGGGTGAAGAGGGTTTCGAGCACATGTGATAGAGAATAAAAGAGGAAATAAGGTTATACAGATAAATACTCTTTCCAATAGCTTAGTTACAGCTTTCTTAGCATTTGGATTTAAACAACATCATAACCGACATTTAAAGTCATTGCTTATCATTGCACGCTCATCAGTTTATGAAATAAGAAAACGACTCCATTAATTACCAGTGACTTTTGGTCGTTGGTTTTTATTCAGAGTTTAACCGACGGTTTATATAGTCAGTAAGTTTAAATATTTCGTTAGAAATGATTTCTTAGAAGAAGCGACAGTTGAAGCGGAAGTCATGCTGTCGGACATTAGCTTCTTGATTATTCGTTGCTAAGTCGTCGGAAAATGACACAACCTTTTCGACACACCCAAAGCCATCGATCATGCCTTCAGTTATAGTTGATTTTTTGTAGTAGAAAACCAATGGGTTTTATGCTTTATGTAAGAACGATAGGGTTTTATAGTATTAGACATTTATTAGGACATGTGTTATGTTTGTAGTCCAACCATAGCCTAAATATCAATCAAACACCAAGGAATCTCATTCCATTGCAATGAAGAAAAATTTTTGATATTAAATGGATATAGGTTTATTGTATCCCAAAAACGACCCATCATTCAGTCATGTAATATATTTTGAAAAACGTGGATAGTTGAGCAAATCGTTACTTATTTGTTTTTATGCACTTGGCCATCTAAGAGATGCTCAACATAAGCAAAAAAATTTCATATATTCCAAATTGTATATCTCTAAAAATTTCCTAAAAAGAAAATGTCTCTGTTTCACTTCAAGATCTATAATTAGTAAAACTCAAATAAATTCAATTCTCCATTAATAAGAATTAATTTAACAAGATACATCAATTAGAATGTCATAACATTTTAGCCAGTTCTGTATAATTTTTTTTTGTCCCTGCATCAATATTAAATGGCTATAATTCAATAACTCAGCTTGGTTGGAGATGATGAAATCAGGCCTCATGGACCATTTCTCAACCCTTAAGCCCCCACAATCCCATCCCCGTCACAATCGAATACATGCCACTTTGATATTTTATAACAAATAAATTGTTTAGATCATTTTATACTTATTTTTAAAGGTGGTTATAATATATATATATATAACCTACTTTTTTTTTTACAATAACATCTATCCAATGTATGCAAGGCTCGCACTACCGACAGAAATTTATCTCACTTGTTTTATGCATTAGCCTGACCTTACAAAACATCAAAATCACGTATATTAAAACAAATTTATTAAAGTTTTTAAACATATATCACAACCACTTATCATTTTTAAAACACAAAAAATATACCGTGTGCACATCTATCCTTATTCGCCGCACAATATTGTGTCCGAAATCTGAATATAACTTACGATTGGACGACGGACGTGATACAACAAAGACCCGAAATCATATCACATCCATTGTCACGCTGCTTAATCTGTTTTTCGCACAAAGCAGATCCATCTCGTTACACCAATGAGGAGAAAAAAAAACAAATTATTAATTTCATATCTCCACTGAACGCCATATCAAAAACAGCTAAAAAAGCTGCTTTTTTTCCTCATTCTAAGGCCCCATTTGGGGCAGCTTATAAGTGCGGGCGGCGTTTTGAAAACGCCGCCATACCGTTTGGTTCGCACTTTTTGATGGATTATTGAAAACTGCGTTTTTTATTTCCTTAAACACGCGGACCGCGGGCTGACCCCCGCGGTCCGCGTTTCGCGATTTCTTTTTCCTCATTAACCCCTCCTCCTGTTCGTTCGAAGCCTAGGGCTTTCCGCGATCTTCTTTTCCGCGACCTTGGCCGACGCCTAATCCCACAGCCCGACGCCAGAAACTCCACCATCTCCCGTTAGCATTTCTTCTTTTTCCTTCCTCCTCCGCGAGCTCTTGCCCTGTTCCAAGCCGTATCTTCCTCGTCTCCCTCCCGTCGAAGGTGGATCTCGTCGTCTCGCTCCCTCGAAGCCGGATCGACTCCTTTGTTGTCGTCGAAGCCGTATCTGCTACCCTAGCTCCCGTCGCAACCGGATCTTCCCCCTCTCGTTCTCCTCGAAGCCGGATCTTCTCCTCTAGCTGCCGTGGGAGCGAAATCTTCTACTCTCGCTACCGTCAAAGCAAGATCTTCTGGTCTCGCTACCGTCAAAGCCGGTTCTTCACAAATCTATGCCAATTGAGCTCTTTCTTCAGTGGAATGCAACGGCATTGTGTCTTTATATTGTCTAACCTATGACTAACCTAATTTTTCTTCCAACATAGGATGCTACAGTGCAGCAGT